AATCCACCTGTTCTGTTCCCCACTTTGTCTCGGGTGACTCCTCTTACCCCCTCCCTTACCCCACAATTCTGGTCTGTACCCCAGTTCTTCTACCCCCCCCCATAAAAAAGACCTACCTACTAAAATTAGTTTCAAGTTCACCCATCCAAGGTCACTGAAGATTAACAAGGTATACACCTTTGCCTCTCACACCCCAGCTTAATTTTCAAATCTTCGTCCCCCTAATATACATGTATTTTGTTTGCACGTGATAAATCAATTAACACAACAGAAAGCATTAACCCAAAACAAAACTCCCTTTTATCAGCCCAACTTTCTCAGAATTGCAAATAAACAATAAGGGAAAAGCTCCGTACTTATTAAAAAAAAATTAAAATAGGCCAACAGCATTATATGGGTACATGGGATCATGCACTTGAAAGTACCTTATAAATTGTTCTAAAGTCTGTAAACACTATGAAAATGCATGATTGCATTATCATAGATCCCAGCCAATTTATGGCAAGTGAGTGTGATGTAGCATATAAATGCAGAAAACAATCATAGCCAGGAGCTTTTGTTTATAAGGGTGAATAACTACAAGGATTTTACATCATCCCATGTCTTGTCTGCAGGGTTTAAGCCGACAAGAACACCACTCAAGATCAAGCTGCCGATGGACCTCCCCGGTGGCGCGGTGGTTGGGTGCTGGGTTGCGAAGCTGCCCGCAGCTTCTGCAGCGCCAGTTCGATCCCTGGCTGCTCCCCGGCCACTGGAGGAGGGTCCTGCATGGCGTGCAGACCTCTCCTGCCGCCCGCTGCTCCCCTCAGCAGTGTATTTCATCAGTCTGCCTCTTCTGTTCCCTGCTCTGGCTCTGGTGAATTCTCTCACCCTCCTGTGCTTCTGACTGTACCCAGTGCTTGTATAAATAAATAAATAAATCTTTAAAAAAAAAAAAAAAAAAAAAAAGATCAAGCTGCAGAAATTGCAGCAGCTGGGATCAATGTCATCTGAGAGAAATTGGCTAGACTAATTAACTAAAAACTCACCAGGAAGATTCTAAATATAGTTCTTTGGCCATTCACTCTCTCCTTCATCCCCACCTCTTCCTGGTATTTCTGGATCCTTTATCCAGTCCATCCCTCCCCTACTCAACTAAACCCTTGAGCTGAACTCTGTGCTCCACACACTAGATCCACTATGAATTTATATGTTTCATTGCTTAATCCTTCTACTGCTGATGCAAAAATTTTCCACATTCCTCACCTGTGGAAACCATTGGTACTCTTACTGTCAAGGAGATCCAAGTTAGGTTATGGGGTTTTTGTCTCCTGTCCTCCCAATCACCATACATCAATAATTACCACCTCCCCTCATGTCATCCATGACAGTGACAGCCTCTCCCCTTTCTCATGTCATTTATGACTCTTGTAGTTACATATCAACTTCCCTTATCTCTCAATCACCACCATTCATGAAAGACTTTGGCACAAGGTCTTCAGCACAAGGCCTTCAGCACAAGGCACAGTCTTCCTTTCTATCCCACATGCTATCAACATCCGGGGTGACTTCAGCGACAAGAGGAGGATCCGCTTAACAACTTGACCTTGGATTCTGACCTTCACATCAGTTCTGACCTTCTCCGTGCTCTGTGAGTCACCCACTCCCCATTAGTGTGACCTTGGCTTTGTCATACCTTGCAATTACAAAATAAACCATTTCTCACTGAGACCCTGACCTCTTTTCCTTCCAGTTTATAACTACTTTTCCAACTATCCCCACTATGACCATTCTTTTGCCTCATGAGGGGCCCCAAATAATCGCCTTCTTTATTTTCATTTCTACTATCAGCCTTTTAATTTCTTCATTTTATTCTTTTACTGCTTAAATTCGATTCAGTGATAATCTAGACAGTATTTCAAAGTTTGTCTCACTTGTCTGATATAATAAGGAACCACCTTCATGCTACTCATGTTCTCTGGCCTTGCACTGAGGTAAGTCACACAATATACTGACATTTTAAACAGATGATCAGCAACCTATTACATTTGTCTGGTCAATGCAGTGACCTCTCTAAAATGGCCATTTCAAATGATGTCCTTATATCAGTCATGTCCTTATATCTCCAGCTTTCCCTTTTCTCGAAACCAGTGACTTCACCTCCTGCTTTGATGCCCAACACTCTACTACCACATTTATATAAGACTATTGGCACATTTATTCAATTCCACATAGAAATTTACTATAGCGGAAGTAAAAACATGTGGCCCAACAATGGAGTGTTTGTGGATACTGTGAGCTCTTTTACAGCAGGGCCATTCCTGTGCATCTGTTTAGTCCCTGCGGTGCCTTGCGCATTGTAGGAAACTAATAAGCAATAAAGAAATGGATAAATTAAACCAATTTATAAAAACAAAAGTCATTACTTTATAAATGGTTTAAACTTCCTGGGACCAACATGATAGTTTGATTTATTTTCCATTACAGAAAAAGACAATTATGAGGGGGGAGCACTCCCTGTGTTTCTGTAATTCTAATTTCATATTAATGTGTTCAACACAACATATATCAAAGGTCTGCTTGGCAGGAGGCCTGCCAACTTATTAGCACCATTTATTGTCCTGAAAGAAAGCATTCACAGAAGTCATTTGATGAGGACATGGCATGTTTTGACCAATTCCTAAATAATAAAAAAAAATTCTTCACTTGAAATAAAAACACTCCAGTCAGCATGATCTCTGATCTAATGCTAGTTCTACAATTTTTCATTACCGCCTTCCTTGCTGCTATACAAACAGTGGGTGGCATTGTACAAAAGCTGATTAATGCTGGGAATTCAAATTGCTGAAAATTGAAGGAATGTGCCCCATGCTGACAATTTGTTAATCAAAAATAGTTATTTCTGCTACTGTGCAAGCTTTAGCCCATCTCATTTTCTTCTGCAATGCAATGTTATATACTCTATCCTCAATGAGATTGAATGTTTTTTCCCCTGACAGTAAAAAGGTTTTATGGGTTCATCAAGAGGCCAAAGCCCTCTAATTCCAATGAATCAATTTCCAGAGTGGAAAGAATATGTTTCTGTCCATATATGCTACTTTTTGTATGCTGTTGATTATCCACAGATCTGTACTGACACTGAATGCTTATAAATTAATCAAAAATCATGTTTACTCACAATTGTATTTTAAAGTATTAAACATATTTACTAAGAGCTTTATATACATTATCTCTTAATCTTCATAACAGCTCCCCCTAATAATCTTTATGATCCATACTTTAATAACTGGAGCTCAGAAAGTATATGACTTTCTTAAATTCACAGAACTAATAAACAGGTCTAAATGATTCCCACATTCTTTCCTACTGTATGAATGCCTTCAAAAAGAAGTAAGGATTTGAGAAAAAAAATATGGAGTATGTCAATGGGTAAAATGATATTCTGTGAACAAATTATAATCCATCCAATACAACTTCTTCAAAACAAGTTGACCAACTACTTGGATCATTTAATAGAAGATTTTTTGCCTTGTAAAATAGAAAGCCTAAGGCATCCGAAATAATGACAGTCATCAACAAATACCTAGTCTTACAGTTTTTCTTTCTAAAAACACAATATAAACTAATTCCTATGCTTCATGATTTATGAAATTGTAAGGAAGAGATTTGACTGAAGTAAAGATATTTCAGATAAAGTCTGGCGAATAAACCAAACTCTCAATTCACCTTGGGGTTTTCATTTGCCATGTTTAAAACACATTCAATTAGAACTTCTCAGCTAGATGCCATTGTGAAAAAAATATTAAAAAAAATAAAGTTGAAGAGAAGGAAGCAACTTCTTTCTATAGCAAATGACCAAGATAAAAGTTCAGTTTGTCCAGGAGTCATTTATGCACAGAATCCAGTGCACCTTGGCCTCCACACTGGGCAAAATCCACCTGACCCTTGGATTGTCCACAAATAAGAAGATGGCTCAAATTGAAGGAATAAAACATGGTTACCCTCTGAATCACTTCTCCTTAGGTATATAGAAGCCCATATACTGTCCATGAAGTTTCTTTCTTTTTTTTTTTTTTTAAAGATTTATTTATTTATTTATACAAGCACTGGGTACAGTCAGAAGTGCAGGAGGTGAGAGAATTCACCTCCAGAGCGGGGAGCAGAACAGGCAGAAGGACCAACGTACACTGCTGAGGGAAGCAGAGGGTGGCAGGCAAGGTCTGCGCGCCATGTGGGACCCTCCCTGGCAGCCAGGGATCGAACCGGCACTGTAGAGGCTGTGGGCAGCTTCGCAGCCCAGCGCTCAACAGCTTGTGCCACCGGGGAGGCCCTCCATGAAGTTTCTTTCTAAATGTTTCCTGCAGGATGTAGGAACAGCATCTGCTGCCCTGAGAGACCAGACATGCTCTCTAAGTCACTTTACCTGAGGACTTCTCATACCCTGCTTGGTGACACCCCAGGTTATGTAAGTCAAACATCATCAGTCTATGCAAGCCTGTAAATCTGGAGGCATTTGTGCCTTCTCTGCTGGTCACCCTACTCTAGTGGGTGGGTAACTTCCTCCCTAACGTGTGAGAAAATGATGGTGCTAAACATAAATTTATTTGACAACCTTTCTAGACAGGTGAGATAAATACTTGCTATTAACACCTTCAGAAGAAGATAGTGGATTTTGAGTCATGATGGGGCAAGTCTTCAGTTATTTGTGATTATTTTTGAGGTTCTGAACAAAAGGAGAGAGAGGAAATGTTTTCAAGATGTTTTGTTGAGTTGTGCTGTTATACAAAGAACATTATGCTCAAAACTGGGAGGTTCAGCTTCTCTAATTTACTGTGTGCCAATTAGCTGGTCACACTGTCTCCAAACCTTAGTTTACTCAACTGACAAATCTCGGTAATGCCTACCCCAATGATGTTTGATGAAAACATCAGATACAGAGTACAAACAAGTCATCAGAATTCACTCTGTAAGTGAATAGGTGATACATAAATATATGAAAATATGAAATTTATCATTATTACCTGTTTCCATGCTTTCTAACTAAAGCTGCAATGGCTTTGTCTGTAATCTGGCATCCATTAATGGCGAGTCCTTGAAGGCTGAAAGTTTACCAAAAAAATACACATCAATAATGTATTTATTTAAAAAGAAGGATTTCTTAACAAAAATTTGCAGTTCATTAGTTATTCAAGTAGCATCAAAAATATTTAAAGAGGAATTTTTTTCTGGTAAGAAATATGCTTAAATTTTGGTTTATAAGATCAACTTACAAGAGGCCTAGTAAATCAAGCACAAATATATATTTTTATATAAATATAATATATTTATCTTTATTTCTTCAATTTCTTTCCTGTTTTTGCAAAGAGCATATTTTCATTTTAAGTTGTTTAATCAAGGCTTTGGCTTGTCCAAAGAACACTATTGTGTAAGGGTATGGAATGTTATCATTTTTTAAAATTTTTTTTAAATTTTTATATTCCTCATACAATTGCAACCCCCTGATTTTGACCCTAATCCCTCCTTTCTTTTTTTTTAATATTTTATTTTATTTATTTATGCAAGTGCTGGGTACAGTCAGAAGCATGAGAGAGTGAGAGAATTCACCAGAGCCAGAGTGGGGAACAGAACAAGCAGACTGACGAAGTACACTGCTGAGGGGAGCAGTGGGCAGCAGGAGAGGTCTGTGGGCCAGTGGGACCCTCGCCTGGTGGCCGGGTATTGAACCGGTGTTGCAGAAGCTGTGGGCAGCTTCACAACCCAGAGTTCAACCACTGTGCCACTGGGGAGGCCCCCTAACCCCTCCTTTCCCCACCCCCCCCAAAGTGTGTCTCTGGTTCATAGTTGTTTGTTGATTTTGATTTTTTTCTTTCTTATAGTTATTCTTTTTCCTGGTCCCTTAGTTAGATTTTCTAGATTCCTGTTATGAGTGAGATCATCCGGTGTTTTTCCTTTTCTTTCTGGCTTATTTTGCTGAGCATGATCCCTTCCAGCGCCATCCATGTTGCTGCAAATTGCATGTGTTTATCCTTTTTGAATGCTGAGTAATATTCCATGGTGCATATGTACCACATCTTCTTGATCCAGTCATCTATTTTTGGGCATTTGGGTTGTTTCCAAAGCTTAGCCATTGTAAACAGTGCTGCTATAAACATAGGGGTGCGGGTGCTCTTTGGAATTAATGTTTCTGTGTCCTTTGGGTAAATACCTAGGAGTGGAATTACTGGATCATATGGAAGCTCTAGCTTTAGTAGGTTGAGGAATCTCCACATGGATTTCCATAGTGGTTGGACCAGTTTGCACTTGTCTAGTTCTTTAATCCATTTTGAGTTGGTTTTTGTGCATGGTGTAAGGTAGTAGTCAAGCTTCATTCTTTTGCATGTGGAATGTTGTCATTTAAAGCATAGTTTCTATCATCACCACATTGCTGTTAAATCAAGAACAGCTTCCTATGAAGATAAACTAAGAAAAACAAGCAATGACATCATGATTATTATGGTGATTCTCTATGCTCACCATCAAGCAGAAATTGACAAAGAAATGAAATAATAGTGAGTGTAACCTAGGATTTTGCTTTAGATTTGTTGCCAAATAATATAGAACATGTAAGCCACAGTGCTTTTTTCATATGATATATTTCTTCCCATTAGATACACAAAATCAGGAAAGCTGAACAAGCATCTTACTTGACATTCACAAAACTGCAGGATTCTTTGTAAAACAAGGCTCGATTTTAAAAGGCTGGGGCTCTACTAAAACTTGCAATTATTTTAATATAAAGTCCTACCATAAAACTTTCTGTAAGGAAGCTTTTTGCACTAAAAAGCATGATTGGAAGACTCTTGATAGAGTCGTGTGCCATAGAAATGATTGTGCTCTATTGTAGCTTTGAATAAAAATGAAAACTGAGCAATTAGTCCTGGTAATGAAGAATTCCCTCCCCAGCGGGCATGCCATGGAGGGTTGGCAGCGGCACCATCCTCCTTACACAAGCAACTGGATAAAATACTGATATGTCTCAGTGCAAGCACTTTTTGGTTTTCATGTGTTACACATACATGTAGACGCTCTCAATCATAGATTCGTGTTTTAGAAAGATAGTTACATCATTGATATCTTCAAAATGATACCAAATGTATTTCCCAGATAGTTCTTATGGACCCTGTGTACAGAAAGTACATTTGTGATGCCTAAGAACACACCTGATTTTGTTTTATTGAATGGAAAAGCCATAATGATTCATTGTCTTCTGTATTTGACATATGTTGACATCAAGGATTCTCCTAAAAATCTGAAATAATCCTTGTCTGCTCCTGGAATTGTAAGTATCAATTTCTATGAGAGCTAGGAACCAGACGGTTAAAGAAGCAGGTGGAAAACTAAAACCACTTTGGCCATGATTCTACTCTTAGAAGAGATTAGAGAAGGTCACTTGTGATAACAAGATGGCTGTTCATAAATGTTTGGCTTTCTCTTTCCTTCCAGAAATGTGATAGGATGACAGTTCCCCACTCCATGGAGCATGTTGTTTTGACCAAGAAATGTAATAAATTGCTTTACAATGCATGTAATTGGTGAATGCTTCACTACATTCTCCCATCTGCCATGCCAGTTGTCAGTGCTCCGTCTAGTGCTCCACACAGTCAGTGCCTATTCTCCTGGCGTGAGTCCTGGAGTGGCATGATCAAGTGGTTGGCTGGAGTCCAGATGGACTCATGAACAAGAAATAAATCTTCTTGTTTTAAGCTACCAAGAATTGGAGGTTGTTTACTACCACAACATAATCTGGCATTTCCTGGCTGATAAAGCACTAGGCCAACTTTCTATTACAAGAATATATCTGAAAGTAAAATTTGATAGACAATCAGAAAATTTGCAGAAACTCCTCCATCTGCTCATTGCTGCATTATTTACAAAGCCAAGTTGTGGAAGCAACCTATCCATCGATGGATGAATGGATAAAGATGTGGATATGCATAGAAATCTTATCATTTGTGACAATATGGATGGACCTTGAGGGCATTATGCTAAGTGGCAAATACCATATGATTTCATTCCATATGTGGAACTTAAAAATGAAAACAAACAAATAAAACCAAACTCATAAAAGCAGAAAACAGAGTGGTGGTTAAGACCCTCCAAGAAATCTTGAGTTCCTTGATAGTGGAAAAATAAATCAGAATTCCTTAATTTATCAGTGGCTCTGATAAAGAAACCTATTACAATCCTGATTCTTTTTACACATCTAAATCTGAGCTTTTCTTCTTCAGCTTTTGCTGCCATCAGAATAAAAGTTACTCCCTTGTGAAGTTAAAGATGATACTTGCATTCAGAAACAGCCTTTATATTAGAATTGTTTTGGAGTAGATTAAATTTTGCTCTATGCTTCAATTACACAATTTTAAATTATTTCAGTTTGCGGAAGATAGAATTAATTTTTGCATGAAAAATATTTATGCAAGTATTACAAATAAAGTACTTGTAAAGACTATTTTGTTCTAATTTTCTAAAGCGAACAAATCTTCAAAGTAATATGTCAATATATGTAAATATATCATGAATACACATTTACCAGTTGATCGCTATAATATTGAATATATACATATATACATATGCTTTAGTGTGTGCAAAAGGTTTTATGTATGTGTTTATACATACAAGCACATGAAGCTCATTATGGGTAGGGAGTCCATTGCTTTCATCTGATTCTCAAAAAAGTTGTTATCCATAACCTTTCAAGAGGCAACTCCCTAGACTAGGGGTCAGCAAACCAACCCTTAGGTCACATGCACTCTGTCACCTTATTTTGTCAATAAAGTTGTAATAGTGGAACAAAACTGTGTTCATTTATTTACACATTGTCTAAGGCTGCTATAGAGGCAAAATTGAGTAGTTATGATAGATGATATGACATCAAAGCTTAAAATATAAACTACCTGGACTTAAAGTATTCTGATGTCAGTTTGGGACTCTTCCATCTAGAACTTGCTGCTCCTGGTTGTGACCTGAAGCTAAGAGGGCTGATTATAGAAATGATGACTCTCATAGAGCAAAACAAACTCAGATAAAAACATCCTCAATGTTTCTTTCTGTTCTTTCTGCAGGAAACAGCTATGGGACAGAGGGCAACAGACTCTGAAACCCCATTGTCTTGGTTCCAGCACAGTCTCCACTAACTTACTAGATGTGTGAGATCAGGCGAGTTACTTAACCTCACTGTGCCTAAGTTCTCTAATCAGCAAAATGTGGAAAGTAATAACTCTACTTCATAGAGTTGTTCTAGGGATTAAAATAATGCCAACAAAGCACTCAAAATAAGGCCGTTCCTGGTGGTGCAGGCAGTTGAGCACAGCGCTGAGGTTCGATCCCCGCCGGCCATCGAGGGTCCCACATAGCATGGCAGACTTCTACTGTCATGCCCGCTGCTCCCCTCGGCAGTGTATTTCATCAGTCTCCCTGTTCTGTTCCCCGCTCTGTCTCTGGTGAATCCTCTCACCCTCCCACGCCTCTGGCCTGTACCCCGGTTCTTGTATAAATAAATAAATCTTTTTAAAAAAGCACTCAAAACAGTGTCTTATGTATTATAACAAGACATGTTAGTTGTTATTTTAACAATTTTTTTAATCAATGCGTTAATTGGCAGAATAACGGGATCACTTTTGTTGCATTACCTTGAAGCTCCTTGTATGAGCGCCAGCACGCCCACATCGGTAGCCCCAGACCAACTTATGTCCACAGCCGACAAACTGCTGCAAAGGGCCCCAGCGAGGAGCAGGATCCCATCTCCTGCAAGCCCGGGGCCACTGCAGCTTATTACATTCAGCTCCTGGGTGATAGAAACCAAAGGAGCCTTCATTAGAAATGCTTCAGAATCCCTTCAGAACAGAGTGTGACCAGGAGATTTTAGAACTACTAAGAGAGCGCATTAGGGAGCAAGAAATCACCAAGGTAGCCAACAGCTAGGGTGTAAACGGCTTTGCAAAGAAGGAAGGACATGACTAAAGCAATTAAAACTAGTATGTTTCTGCTCAGGCCAGCCCATCTTCCTTTGGGCCTGTTTACTGAAACCACACCTTCCTTGATGTCACCCTAAGATTAGAAGTCACCCTCAGATTGTAGGAGCTCATTTAAATGATTAACAGTTGGGTAGCCATTAGAAATGATTTTTATGAAGAGCTTTTAATTGATGGAGAAAAATGTTTAAATGAAAGTGATGACTACAAAATGTTTCCTACATTTCATAATCTCCATTATGTTTGTTTGTTTGTTTGTTTACTTATTTATTTATACATACAAGACTGGGATGCAGGTCAGAGGTGTGTGTGTGTTGATGGGGGGAGGGAGGTGAGAGGATTCACCAGAGAGCAGAACAGGCAGATCTACTGAAATACACTGCTGAGGGGAGTAGCGGGTGAGGCAGGAGAGGTCTGCTGTGCCATGTGGGTAGCTCCCTGGCTGCAGTGGCTGGCGACAGCTTGATAGCACTATCTTTAACCCCTGTACCATCATAAAGGCCCCTCCATTATGTTCTTTAAGTGTTGTTTTTATTTTTTTTTTTTTTGAATTTTAGAGTGACAATTTATTCTTTTTTTTTTTTTTTAAATATTAAATTTTATTTTTATATTCCCCCATACAATTGCAAACGCCCCATTCTGACCCCAATCCTTCCCCTCCCGCCCCCCACCCCCCAAAAAGTGTCTCTGGTTCATAGTTTTTTGTTGATTTTGATTTTCACTTTCTTATATTCATTTTCCTGGTCCCTTAATTAAGTTTTCTAGATTCCTGCTATGAGTGAGACCATCCGGTATTTTTCTTTTTCTTTTTGGCTTATTTCGCTGAGCATGATCCCTTCCAGTGCCATCCATGTTGCTGCAAATTGCATGTGTTTATCTTTTTTGAATGCTGAGTAATATTCCATGGTATATATGTACCACATCTTCTTGATCCAGTCATCTATTTTTGGGCATTTGGGTTGTTTCCAAAGCTTAGCTATTGTAAACAGTGCTGCTATAAACATAGGAGTGCAGGTGCTCTTTGGAATTGATGTTTCTGTGTCCTTTGGGTAAATACCTAGGAGTGGAATTGCTGGATCATATGGAAGCTCTATGTTTAGTAGGTCCAGAAATCTCCACACAGCTCTCCATAATGGTTGGACCAGTTTGCACTCCCACCAACAGTGCAGAAGAGTTCCTTTTTCTCCACATCCTCGCCAACATTTGTTGTTGCTAGTTTTTTTAATATGTGCCATTCTCACTGGTGTGAGATGGTATCTCATGGTAGTTTTGATTTGCATTTCCCTGATTACAAGTGATGTTGAACATTTTTTCATATGTCTGTTGGCCATTTGCATTTCCTCTTCAGAGAAGTTTCTTTTTAGCTCTTCTGCCCATTTTTTGACTGGATTATTTTCTTTGTTGTTGCTGAGTCTCATCAGCTCTTTGCAGATTTTTGTGATCAGTCCTTTATCATTAGTGTTGGGTGCAAAAATGTTCTCCCAGTTGGTGGGGTTTCTCTTTGTTTTTGTTATTGTCTCTTTTGCTGTGCAGAAGCTCTTTAATTCGATGTAGTCCCAGCTGTTTATCTTTCTCTTCACTATCACTGCTTTGGGTGATGTGTCTGTAAAGATGTCTTTGATGTGCAAATCCCGTAGTGTTTCGCCTATATTTCCTTCTATGTATTTTATGGTTTCAGGTCTTATGTCTAGTTCTTTAATCCATTTTGAGTTGATTTTTGTGTATGGTGTGAGGTAGTGGTCAAGCTTCATTCTTTTGCATGTAGCGACCCAGTTTTCCCAGCACCATTTATTGAACAAACTTTCTTTGCTCCAATGCATAGTCTTTGCTCCTTTGTCAAAGATTAGTTGACCATAAATCTGTGGGTTTATTTCTGGATTTTCTATTCGATTCCATTGGTCTGTATGTCTGTTCTTGTTCCAATACCATGCAGTTTTGATGATTATGGCTTTGTAGTATAGTTTGAAGTCTGGGAGTGTGATGCCTCCATTTCCTTCTTTTTTTTTCAGTAGAGCTTTGGCTATTCGGGGTTTTTGGTGATTCCATATGAATTTCATCAATAATTGTTCTATTTCTTTGAAGAATGCCATTGAGATTTTGATTGGAATAGCATTGAATCTGTATATTGCTTTTGGTAGGATGGCCATTTTAATAATGTTTATTCTTCCAATCCATGAGCAGGGGATGTCTTTCCATTTCTTTGTGTCTTCTTCTATTTCTTTTAAGTGTTGTTTTTAAATGCTCTTTAAAAAATAGGTATTAATTCTCTGGTTTATAGTTGCTTGCTGATTTTGATTTTTTCTTTATTATAATTAGCCTTTTTCCTGGTCCCTTATTTAGGTTTTCTAAATTCCTGCTCCAAGTGAGAACTATAAACCAGAGACACACTATGGGAGGGGGAATGGGGGGGAGGAAGGAGTAGGATCAAAACAAGGGGGGTGGGAATTGTATGGGGACTATAATGCATACATTGTGCAAAAATGAAAAATGATATAAAAAATATATTTAAAAAGGGAAAAAAACAAGGTTGAAAAAATAGGCATTAATTCTGCAGTCTTAAAAAGGTCATTTGCCAGCAAGTACAAACTATTAATAAATAATAGTGAAAAAAGTGAGATCAGTGATTAGCTTTAGGGGATGGGACAATGGGGGTTGAGTGAGAAAGACCCTAGGATGGGTGGGTTACACAGGCATACACATTTTTCAAAACTTGATGGATGGTATCCCTACCATTTCATGTAGATGAATTTTACCTGACAAAGAAAAAAGCAGCAACAATTGATATAATGCTATTCATACTGTAGTGTTTAGGAATGAAGTGTACGAGGTGTGTATAACTCACACTGAATCTCTTTTTTTTTTTAAATGAGTTGAAGGATAGCTTAAAGTTTGAATGGATAGATTTGTGATAAAGTCAGTGTAATATCACCTAATTGTAAAATCAAGGACATGAGTATAGGTGTTAACTAGTATATCAATGTTCAAGTATATTTAAAATTTTTCAGCACAGGATGTTGGGAATATTTACCCCGGACCTAGGTCTCATCTGGCCTGTAATCTGCACTGGAGCTTTACACTGGCTGGAGAACTTCAGAATAGCATTACCAATACGGACTGGAGATGCCTACCTTTAGCAAACCTAATTTATGCAAACTAAGAATTCTAAAACAGGTATTTAGATATAAGTAGTTTTTTGTTTTTTGTTTTTTACTAAAAGGTTATCCATTTGAAATAAACAGCCAGACGATATTATCTATTGGATAATTTTTCTGAGCTGAATTGGATTCCTTGAGCACTTAAAATTTGGGCATCATTTTCTCTAATGGTGGCCTGTCTGATACTCCAGTCCACACTTGCTTTTGTTGTCCCCTGACAAACATAAAAGGAGAGAATTCTATTTGATGTGGTAAAAGAGCAGGGAAATCAATCCTTCTGGGCTAAAAATCCGTCATCATAAACAATAGGGACTTTCTACCAATAGAACATAAGAGTTTTGAGATGCTAAGTGAAAACTGAGTCATCTGAAACCATAATGGCCTTGAAGTAATGTCCATGCCCAGGATTGAGCTCTTGATCCCCACTCCTATTCCTTTTCAGCACTCCACCTGCAGTCATACACTTGCTCTGAGGGAACTCCCATTAGCTGCTGATTGCTCTGAATGGCAGCTCTCAGCTTTCTGGAATTCAAAATCACTGCAGTATCATGTGCAATATTATTCTAATTAAATATTAAAATTAACTTTTCTTTAATATATCATGCTTTTAAAATAAATGATAATAACTGGAACTGTCCTGGGACACAACAGAAACAGGTGTTGGATCCCCAGGCCTGCTTACTTGTTCACAGAAGGGCTTTAGCCCTTTTTGTGCCCTGGACTCCTTTGAGCAACCAGGGGAAGCACCTGCACCTTTGTCAGAATAATGTCTATAAATGAATAAAACATAGAATTGCAAAGGGAGCCAAGAATAATGAAATACAGTCAGAAAAATTATAAACATCTTGTGACATGATAACACTTGCTTCTTTACTGATAGAGCATATAATCTCATCTAGCTACTGGTCTGGTAATGACCATAGTTTTGAAGTTGTGATAGATGTAAAGTACATTTTGAGATTCTGCAACAACATCAAGGTGAAATGAAAATAAGTCTGATTTTTCATAGTCAGAATGTTAGTCACACTTTTCTATTAGTCATAATCGAAGGAGATACTAGCTTTCTGTAGAGTGGAAATAAATGTGATTATTTTTCTCTTCCAAGTTGAAAAATCCCTTGAATTCTCCCCATTGAATTCGCCCTTGAACCTTGAATTCGCCCCCAGGTTAAGCCCTCTAGTTGAGACTTCACCTATCCTTTGGTTAGTACAAGCTGAAAGAGAAAAAAAAGAAAGTCAATTAAAAAAACTTGGAGGAGAGAGTATGAGATTGAGAGACTGAGATTCAGAATAAACCAACTCTAGGATGTAAGTGGAAGAGGAGCATACATGCTGGTGGCAAGAATGGAAGAAAAAAACACAACAATGAAAAAAAAAGAGCCCAGGAAGATGAGAGATCTTCATTTCCAGAGCACCACAGGAGGGGGTTAGTTCCAAAGAGTCTTGAGCCCAGGAGGGTGACCACTTTAATAGACATTGCTTTGTCTGTGAGTCACCCTGAAACAGGTTACTATCAGCAAGAATGTGGGGAA